ATTTTTAATAATTTTTCATAATTTTTAGTTCATCATAATAAATTTTGGTCAAAATTGGTTTTAAATGCAAATGATATCTCTCTAACAATTGATATCAACTTTTCAAATACTTTGATTGTATAAATTTTAAATTTTTGACCTAAATTTAAATGTTTATGCATGTGGTTTAAATGAAAATGGTATCTCTCTAACAATTGCTATCAAAAATTTTCAAATGCATAACATTTTTGAAAAGCATTATGCATATACACTTAATTTCAATAATTGATATTGCATAAAGTATTTTTAGAATTGGATATATTGAATTTCATATGCTACTAACATGTTTGTTATTCCTTGTTGAAATTCAATTTTAAGTGTCAAGATGTTAAAAGCTTAATTTTGTTTAGAATGCATTTATTGAGGGGGAGCTTTGATTTTTCAAATGATTTTTAAATGTCAAATTTACCACTTACTCTCCAAAGTTATTTTGAACTTCAAAGAATAAATTATTTTTGATATAGCAAAAAAGGGGAGAAGTTTGGTTTGAAAAATTCAATTTCTTAATGAAAAAGGGGGAGCTTAACATTTTCATATATTTTCCAACAATTGGTATCTTTTTAACAATTGGTATCCTTTTGTAAACAATTGGTATATTTTTCATTAGATATTTTATTAAGGGGGAGCTTTTCCAAAAACAATTTTTCAAATGTTTTGTTATATCAAAAAGGGGAAGATTGTTGAATTATGTTTCGATATAACAAATTTAAAGGCAAAATGTTTTTGGACTTGAATTGAATTTATTCAAAGTTTTAAAAAGGTTTCAAAAATAATTCAAAGTCCATTAAATTCGAATTTGAGCAAAAATGCAAATGTGTATCGATACCCCTATGAGTGTATCCTTACACTGGTGTACCGATACCCCCTGCGGGTGTATCTATACACCTATGATTTCTCAAACATCGAATTCAAAAAAGGTACCGATACCCCTATGAGTGTATCCATACACTGGTATATAGATATACCCTACAGTGTATTCATACACCCTGGCTGCAACGGCTAATAACAACTAGTTTAATTTGAATTTAATGAAGGTGTACTGATACCCTATGAAGGGGTACCAATACCCCCTGTTATAGGCAGTCTAGTTTTGCAGAAAAACAATCCCCAAACGGCTCCAAAACATCCCCAATGGCTATATACAACTTCAAACTCATTTCAAGCTATAAATACAAGCTGATGACACTTGAAGAAGTAAGAGAACAACTATCCAAGCAATCAAACACAAGAGAAGAGTTTCTCAATCTTATTTCTTATTTCTCTTGTAAATATTTTGTTCTTGTGAGCTTAATTCTTGTAAACACCTACCTTAGAGAGATTTTCTTGTTTACATTTCCTTTTATTGTAAAGGGGAAAGGTTTTAGCGAAGCCCGTGTAAAAGCTAGGGAAAGGTTCTAGTTTATCCCGTGAAAAACTAGGGAGTTGTAAATGTTATCTCTTTGTCCTTAAAAAGAATGAACAAATTAGTGAATTTGTTGGAAAATCCTTGGTGAGGAGCTAAAGTAGTGGATGTAGACTTGGTTGAGAAGTTGAAACACTCTAAATCGCTGTGCAATTCTCTATCTTTCAATCTCCTTACTCCCTAAACATAAAAACCGTTCTGACCCCTCTTTGCAAACCAATTCGATTGTCGATTCGAGCGTCCTCAAATCCCAACATATACATTATAACTAAATTTTATTTCAAGTTCATCTCGATTGTGGGGTATAATTTACCCAACTTTCTTTTAGGTAGTTTGAAAACTCCCACTTTTTCTTTCTCTTCTTTTTTTCTTTCCTCCTGTATGTTCTCTCTTTCTCCCCAAAACAGTTTCTCCATGGTTTCATATTTCTTTTTAGTTTTACTTAGATTTGTCGCTAACCGTGAGGTGGTGTGTGACACATCCGGTACCCTATTGTTCATCATGTCATTTTTGTTCGTCTGGTGGTTTCCGTTTTCTGTTTGGCATCGATGATAGCTTTATCAGAGAAACGAAATTTTTGGGTTTTGTTAAAAACCCAATTTCTGAAATCCTTTTTTCGTAAACCAACCTCGGTAAGTTATTTCCCGTTGTTTAAAATAATTTTATGGTATTTTCGTTGCAAAAATCGTAGTCGGTCGGCGTCTCATGCGTCCCCACGAGCCATCGTGTGCTTGTGGGGAAAATTTTGGCCGTTCAAACTGGCAAAATCGATTAATTGTTGGATTGAACCGATTAAACCAATTGACCCGTTAACCGAACCGACCCGTTGATCGACCCGACCCATTGACCATTGATTTTGACCGTTGAAAGTTGACCTTGACTGTTAACCGTTGATCGTTGAAATTTTCTAAATACCCCTATCTTTATGTATTTCTATGTCTTGAGTCCGTGTTTGAAGTCCATTTAGCCAAATTCTAACCTGAAAGTCCTATTTTGTGTCGTTTGTCGTTTTAAGTCCTAATTATGTTAAGTAAATTGTGAGGTTTTGAACTCACTTTTGGGTCTAATTTTTTTAAGGTACCCTCATGTCTCAAAATCACTCACCAATAGACCCTGATCACCACAGTTCTGCTCAATCAAGTTCGCTTGCTCGTCCCGAGATACACGTAAGTATTAAATTAATGATTTTTATAGTATATTTCTGTTTAGATGATTGGCATATGCATTTATGGAAGAGTATTGTTTTAGGTTCCCTATCCACATGACCTAGTACTACTGATTGTGGGAAACGTAAGGCCTAGTCGATATTGATTATCTCTTATAGGTGTCCCCTGACCTGTTCGATATGTTTAACGTGTTATGTTACATGTTTTTATCTGTAAACATGTTCGTGAATTGATTATATATATATATATATATATTTACGTGACATATCTGACTTCTGAATAATGTGACATCACCATTAATTTGCAAGTTGATGCATTTCTGATATCTGAATGGGATTTATCCCCGTCCTGATTCTGCAGGGGATTTATTCCTCGTCCTGATTCTTCATGGGATATATTCCCCGTTCTGATTATGTATGAGACCTCGTTTCCCATTTTGTTTATATTGGGATCCTCTACGGAGGGCTAAATCCCCATTCTGATTTTTTTGGGATTCAATTTTGGATGTCTCCTTGTAAGGTAATGTTCATATTTTGTTGATTCGGAACGAAAGGTAAGATTATGAATTTCTATTGGGACATTCTTCTCGTAAAATTTCTTAATTTTAATATTGTTTGATTATTATTTTGATTAGTATTTTATGTTTGAATGTTTTGTGGTTTGTATTACCTAATATAATTTCGAGGACACACTAGCTCACTTTATTTTTGTCTTTCTTTTTCATATTAACCAGATATAGGAGCGATTTGGGTATCAAATGTGTGATCTCGATTATATATTCGTCCTAGACCACTAAAATCTCATAAACGGGACTAACACATTCCCATTTCTATGAATTAATGAGTACAAAACACTAACATTTCCCATACGAGCAGCACTTCTCAAACTTTCATCTATGTCGGGAGGTGGGATCAATTCACAATCGGAACAGAGAACTTAAGGTCAATAAAAAACTGTTTCTATTCTATCATTACACAATTTTTAATTATTAGAGAAAATAAACATATCATCAAATGTTTGAATCTAACTGACACGATGGTGTTGATTTCTGTGCCAAAGCTTTGAAATTAAGGAGACAAAGACACCATGAAGGAGTATAAATTGTGTGGTTGAGGCAAAAAGATCATAATTCTATCCATCATGCATGTGCGTGTGGAGCCATGAAATTAATCCATATGCTTGTGGACCTTAGAAACCCCCACCACAATCATTTTCTTCATTTCAAAAATCCTTTTACGTAGAAGTTGCTTCGTTAACAATAATATACAAAGTCAATGGCAGACAATTGATTTTATAACACCTTAAACTCTGCTTAGAATATTTAGATATCTTAAAGATGTTATATCAAATTACTGAAACCGTCAATAAATTTTAAATCCTTTTAAAATTGGATGCTCATATTAAATCTCATTTCGAATCATTTGTAATAAGATAATCTCGTAATGAGGGCACCATACCTACACAATTTAATATACTCGCTCGTAGAGTATATCAAGAGCAATCTATTATATACCTACAGAAGAAGAAGAAGAAGACGGACTCAACAGGGGAATGAAGATGAGACGCAACCATCACAAACTGACAGCTAAAAAATAGAAGGAATATATTCAATTCAGAGTTTAGGAAGTACTTCTGTACAGCTTCGATGTATGTATTCATAGATTCTCTCAAGTAGTTCCATGTGACCGATCGCTTACCACCTTGGAACTTGTCTTTGTATTGCATCAATTGATCCGCAGCTAACTATATATATCCCAGTAAAAAGCCTTACGAAGTTTGAATCAAAAAGGAAATTCGAGGTTGAATGAAGGAAAACTGGGGGTAAAAAAACCATTGCAAGTTTTCGAGCAAGGTTTGTTATTAAGGGGATTTGTCCGAAACCTGTTGCAGAAGTACTGGGTTGTTTCCTTCAGACGTCTGGAAAATGTTGTGATCATTCCTGAAGTTGCCAAATCGGTTGAGAGCGGCATATGCGTGGCCTCTTCAGGCTTCCCTTCAGGTACTCAGTGACTTTACTGTATATGATGTTACATAGGACTTCAGGCCTGCAGAAAGTGCAAGGACATCGGCAACAAATTGTTCATCTCTGTATATTTCTCCTCCAAATGCTAAGCAGTGAAAGATATGCATACACTGAAGCCAGAATCGGCATAAGCTTGTGCTGCAAGTAACTAAACTTCACGCTGTTTCAGTGGACTGAATTGCTGGCCTAGTAACAAGTACCGAACAGCAATAGTGACCGAAATCATGAGGAAAACAAGTGAAGAATATGGAAGGCCAACCTGCCCACCTACAAGCTCAGCCAACATAGCAGCAAAATGTTTGTGTATAGTAGGGAGTCTCCATCGAGCCTCATTCAAGAGCATTCAATACCTTAAAAACACATGCTATATTGCTGACTTACTCTATATTAGAATCACTCGACTTTTCTTTCTGCTGCAATCCCTCCAATTATTCCAACAAGCACTCAACTCTAAAGCTTTTGAGCATCCGATTTTGATGGTAACTCCAAAGTTAATATCTGAAATATGAAGACATTAACAGTTGAAAACATAGATGGAGGGATGAAGAAATCATTGAAGGAAAATGCAGTGTGGTGGAGATGTCTACTTACTGCCCAATCCATGCAACGAAAGCAATGGAGGTGAATCAAGTCAACTACTGACTCTATGAATTAAAAAACCACCACTGCCTCCTATACAAAGAAATACAACTATCATAAGCAATTGAATTCTTAATGTACAAATTTACGCTAACTAGAATCACAAAGTAAGAGTGGTTTTCAATTTGGAAATTCAGGTTGACCTCTGATGCAGAAAAATGATGCGTCGTCATAATCATTGTCCCTTATAATCATGTCCTCTTTAAACACAATGAACACATAATCTTTTTATCTGTAGCACCTGTCCCATCTCCAAGAAACGCGACTCTCTCTCATGAACTTTTCACCACTGGCAGCTGTCAGTTGGTATTTACAGAAAAATCCAACACCTCCGCCTGCAAACGAGAGATCAGCCAAAAAGCATAAAGCAAATGCCAAGAATCTGCTCCCACTACACCCATTTGGGGCTATCTTTAAATTTATCCGAGAATTCACGCTTCGTTGCTCAAACTGATTTGCCGAAACTTCATTTCCTGGGATACAACAAAGCAATTTATTTCCAAAAGGATCCCTCCCTTTCCTCCTTGCCCATCTCTGTGCTAGGGATTGAATTTGAAGCATCGCGTTGCTCTCAATGTTTTTAATTGAATATTGATTCAGGTTTAAGCCATTAAGGAATGACATGGACACCTTTTCATCACGAAGAGTATCATCACCATCATGTAAAGAAAAGAATGAATTGGAATTATGATCGGTGAATGATACTTTCTCCAATGATGTGCAATAATTTGCATTCAAGCACCACAGATATCGTGGAAGCTCTGAGAGTGTTTTAAGTCTTTTGAAACCCCCAAGATCGAAAACGCCAAGGGATTCCAACTTTGAAATATTGCTCGATACACTTTCCACCCTAGAGTACTCAAACTCCACTTTCTAAGTCCGACAAGATGCTGAATTGATTCCGACACTTGTTCTATTCCAGTGTATCTTAAATCTAAGTCAGACAAATTATTTGGGAGGTAATGAGGAAACTTTTTAAAATTATGACATCCCTTCAATTGAAGCTCTTTGAGAGATGCCAATTGATTGAGGCTAGGTAGTTCAACCAAACTTGTACAGTAATTGCACTTAAGTGATTTAAGGTTGATGGCTACAAATGGATTAGGAATCTTACTTAAATTCCTGCAACAATAAAGGTCAAGGATTTCAAGAGATACCAATTGGTTGAGGGAATGTATTTCAACCAAATTTTCACACCCATTGCAGCAAAGGCTTTGGAGTTTGATGACTCCTGATAGATTAGGGATCTCCATTAGACTCTTGCGGTCAGAAAGGCCAAGTTTTTCAAGAGATGCCAAGTGGTTGAGGCAAGGTAGTTCAATCAAATTTTCACACCCATTGCAGAAAATGCTTTGAAGGTTGATGGCTCTTGATAGACTAAGGATCTTCCTTAGACTCTTGCAACCAGAAAGGTCAAGTTTTTCAAGAGATGCCAAATGGTTAAGGCAAGGCAGCTTAACCAAATTTTCACACCCATTGCAGCAAAAGCTTTGATGGTTGATGGCTCCTGATAGATCAGGGATCTTCCATAGTTTATTGCAATTAGAAAGGTCAATTGACCTTAAATGAAGAAGATCCTGTACATTGAAAATATAAAATAATTGCATTATCTACTTATTTTGGACCGTATCAAAAATAAAAACAAAAATATGAAATAACTGGTGATCTTCCTTCCAAAGTTATTCTATGCAGCTACCGGTTAGTTTCAACACAACAAGATTCTTTGGATTAAAATTCGATGATAAGGATTTCAAGGGACAAAAGTCCCAACGAAGATACCTTAGCTCATCAGAAAAAGACGCTATCAACTCTGTCTACGGGAAGTTGTTGAAACAAGAACGAATGACATGTATAAAGGATGATATATCCAAGATTATGCATCTTCTCAAAACCTGAACATAATAACAGCAGGTCTTCAATTCGATAAACGAAAAAGCTTTATTCCTTCAACTGATTTATTCACCTGATAATAAGAAACAATTCATCAAGTTTCGTTACAAAAATATTGTGAACATTTCATTAAAATTACTCATTAAAAAATATAATTATACTAAGAAAAGCATAGATTAATCAGACATCTTTTTAATACTGAAAATTTTAGACAATAAAAATTGTTTTATATGTATAGTAAGTAAATAAATATTTTATTTTTTTGAAATAATAGTTAAAATATTTGAAACACTTTGACAGATAACAACATACAACTAAATGAATTTATATATTGACAATATATCAAATATAAATTTCAATTATAATACACAAATATGTAAACAAAAAAAAAAAGGAATATAGATCCAATTAATGCTTACTTTATTATATTTGAGCACTTGGTTCATGTCTTCGAGACTCCATAACCTGTTGCGCTTTCTAGGATTCTTAGATTCTCGGTGAACAATGCCCTTCCCCATGTCTTCAAGTATATCATGCATAGAAATCCGCCCATCAGAATCCATAATAAGTAGGCTCTGTTAGATATATGAACTGCAAAATTACACCGTTAGCACTGACTGGAAATATAAATAGTAATTAAAAAGAACAAATTCATAAACCGTGTCGTGGTATAACCACTGCCTTAGAAACGAATTCGCCCCGATGTGTGTAATCGCTGCAGTAGGCGGACCGTCCGCCGAGATTAACACGGTCGCTCCAAATTTCGTACACCCGAAATCGGAGTGGATTGCAGGTGATATTACTCTTCTTATCGGAAAGAACACAAAGAGAATATTTAGAAAACACTTGGAGAGTGAATTCTTAATGTTGAGAGTGAGTTGAGAAACTGAGCCCTCTATTTATAGGCTAGAAAATCGTCCATAAAATTTCAGGATTAAATCTTTTCTTTTGTAACAGTTGAAACGTCTAGATGAACTTGACTCAAAAATAGTTCAGGTTTATTGCATCATTATTCAGCTGTTATAACTCCTAAAATTATATCATGTAACCCCCTGGAATTAAATTAGTCGAGCCGTGCCGTGCCGAGACGGGCGACGGCGGCAGCGATGCGCGAGAGTCCCCCTTGTTCTCTTTCACTCAACAAGAAAGTGGGAAATCCAAACCATAAATACTCATTCCCAATAGTATTTCCAATACTATGTGGGATTGAGCATTACCAACATGCTCTTGTCTAGCAAATTGCTTATTCCACACATTGCACCCTTATACAAGCAACTTAAAATTTCTTCTACTTCTTCCTTGAAGTCCTCTCTGAAGAGGCATGCTATGTCAAGAAATATATTCTTCTCTGACTCATTCAAACGCATCAAAACTACTAATCAAAATCTGGGAAATCTCTGGTTGTGCAATAAGAAAATTCAAGGCTTTGCTGGTAATAGTCTGATTTAGTTGTCAATTCTTCATCCTTTGTATAGGATTTTGGTCAACTACATTACAATGTCAACTGGAAATAAGTTAACTTGTTGGCATACTGATAGTGGGTTGATCAGATCCAGTTTTGTAGACGTGTATATGATTCTTCCCGTATTACGTATTCTTATCGTCTATTTCTCAATACGTGAATGTCTTTGTAATAATCTTTGTTAATATCTCTCTCTGCTTTTTAGGTCTATTTATCCTTACCATTGGCATATTGGCAGAGCAGGTCTCCAGCAGCGATCTTCTTGTTGTTGGCTACCCATTCTCTCTCTCTCCAGTTTAAAGGTACTTTTCCGTAACTTCTTTAAGCACTCCGTCATTTTTCTTGAAATATTTCAACATTATCCATATTGGCCCATAGGTCGCATAACCATATCCCTAACATATGCCATATCCTTGTGTTTTTAGCTTGCATTGTCCTATAACGAGGCTGTCTTGACCGGAAGGTTGACCTCTTCAGATGGTAGCATTGTTCAATCTGTGTTTCTAGGATCTCTTCGGAAACGGGTCGAAGAACTCCTGAATTGTTCAGAGGCATTAAAGAAGATTTGCGTGATTATTTGAATTCAGGCAGTTGGCCTATTGATGATAGATCTAGATGGAGTGAAAAGTTCAACAATTCTTTCTTGGTATTTCCAATGGTTTAGTGTAGCAGCCCCGGCTACGGTGAAGACAACGGTGGACAGAATTAATCACATCAACATCTCTTCGTCTCGGATTCCTTTGTTATGTTTGTTGTTACCAGGCACTCACATAGATGCAATGAGAGATAAATCGACTTCTGTGGTCTTCCTGAGTGAACAGATGAAAGTAACTAAACTGAATATACAAATTTACCCTGACCAGTGACTAGAATCAGACATAAGACTAATGTTCAAGCCGGAATTTTTCTTTTTTGAAGGATCAAGCCGGAAATTTACCTATACATTTGGATGACATTATCCAAAAGTTGCATCTTCTCAAGAGCATACACACAATTAATTAAAAAAAATGAAATAAGAGAGAAAATAAAATTCAGTAATTAAATTTATAATTTATCCATTAAAAAATAAAATTAAAAAGCCATGTCATTAATTACATCATTAGTTAGAGAGGAAATGAATAAGTTACCATTAAAAACGCAAAGCATTAAATTCATAGAAGGAATTGAATAGAAGAGAGTAAAGTTTAATTAACAAAATTTGTACTTTACCCAAAAGTATAAAAAGAATTCTACACACACTGCACCTGTATTAGCGACAGAAAAAGAAGACGACGTGAATTGGCAAAGGAGATGTCCACATCGTATGAAGAGAGTAAAAACAACCTAGATGAGATTCATGACACAGACAACAATGTAAGGATTGTTGGTGAATGATAACATGTGATAAACGCCACATAACAGGTTAAACACAAGCTCACCAATCTAACATGACAATGTAATCCGTCAAATGATGCCCTTGAAAATAGCCTCCACCCACAAAAGAATGAGAAAACATAATAAGCAATTGAATAGAAAGAAATTCAACCCTTCTCTTTTAACAAATCTCCCTTTTAAATGTACAACTATCATAAGCAATTAAATACAAATGAAAACAGCTTACCTACGCATTTGGAATGAGAAGTTGCATACCCAAAGATTAAAAGAAGTGAAACTATTTCAATGTTTTAGGCCCTTCATCACCACCATTGCCAGATCTTCTTTCATCCCCAGGTCTTATTTCAGTAGCAGATCCGTCATGAGCTCCCTCAACATTAGCATCTTCTTGAGAATCAGAATTCTCGAAGGATTTGTCCCATCTCATCACATCACTAGTGGTATACCCCTCTGCATCCATGTAATATATGTTAACACCACATTTCTCCACTTTAAATTCATCACCGTAAGGATTTCTGATGTACAATTCAAATGATGCCTCCTCATAATCATTGTCTATTATAATCATATCTTGATTGAACAGAATGAACACATGATCACCCTTGTAATCGAACTTACTGATCCATGGCCAAGGATCACTCTTGTAACTGCAGATCTCGTCCTGTGTCACAGAAACACGGCACTCACTCGTGAACTTTTCACCACTGGTGGTGGTCAGTTGGTATTTACAGATAAATTCATGATTTCGTTTTGCGAGTGTGAGATCATCCACAAGACAGATAGCAAAAGCCAAGAATCTGCTCCCACTATACCCATTTGGGGTTATCTTCAAATCGAACGAATAATTCATGCTTCCGTAATAAAACACAATTTCTGGAACTTCATTTCCTGGGAAACAGCAAAACAAAAAAATCCCATCTATATTCCCCTAGGGATATCCCTTTCCTCCTCCTTACCCATCTTTGTGCCAGGGAATGAATTTGAAGCATGGTGTTTGCCACAATGTTTTTTTATTGAATCTTGATTCAGGCTTCTACAGTTCGAGAAAAGCATGAAAACGTTTTCTCTACGAGGAGCACCATCACCGTCATGTAAAGAAGGGAATGGATTGAAACTAACGTTAGTGAAGGACACTTTTTCTAATGACGTGCAGTTACTTGCATCCAAGAACCACAAATACCGTGGAAGCTCCAGGAGTGTCTTAAGGCTTTTGCAATGATCAAGAACCAACACACGAAGGGACTCGAACTTTGAAATATTGTTCGGTACATTTTTCTCCCATGAGTGACTCAAATTCAACTCTCTAAGTCCGACAAGATGCTGAATGGAATCAGGCACTTCTTTTATTACAGTGTGAGATAAATTTAACTCGGTAATGTTATTTGGGAGCTCAAGAGGTTCGACCACCCAACACCAGCTTAAGTTAAGGCTTTTTAAGTTGATGACTTCTAATAAACTTGGGATCTTTCTTAAATTCTTGCACTCAGAAAGGTCAAGGATTTCAAGAGATGTCAAATGACTGAGGCAAGGTAGTTCCACCAAACTTTCACACATACGGCAGCAAAGGCTCTTAAGGTTGATGGCTCCTGATAGATTAGGGATCTTCCTTAGTTTCATACAACAGTAAAGGTCAATTATCCTTAAATTAACAAGATCCTGTACAATGAAAATATAAAATAACTATATTACCTCATAGCATTATCTATTTATTTTGAACAGTATAAAAAATAAAACGAAAAAAATACCCGATGATCTTCATTCCATAGTTGTTCCATACATCCAAAACGTAATTTCAATACAGCAAGATTCTTTGGATTAGAGTTTGATGACAAGGATTTGAAGGGGTACCCGCTCCAACAAAGATATCTTAGCTCTTCAGGAAAAGATACACTATCAACTTTGTGTGCAAGTACCTTATCATTCCGGAACACCAAACACACAGTAGACAAGTCGATGAATCTAAGATTAAGAATGTTCTCAAAACCGTGATGACATGATAACAGTGGGTCAAACCGAGTCATCTCAAACCTTATTCCTTCAATTGATTTATTTTCCTAATAACAACAAACAATTTGTCAGGGATCAGTATATAGAAATTTATGGACGTTCCATGAAATTACTCATTAAACAAATTTATTTATATTAGGAAGGCTTATATTAATCGAACATACCATTATATTAATGGAATATTTAAACAATAAAAAATGCATGCTTTGTTCTTTTAAGCAATGCATTAGATATTTGTCAAGCATATATATATATGATAAAAGAGAAAATAAATATAATTAGCACTTACTTTATCATATCTGAGTACTTTATTCACGTCTTTGAGACTCCATAGCCTACTTCGCTTTTCCGGGTTTTTAGATCTTTGGAGAATAATATCCTTTCCCATCTTTTCAAGCATATCATGCATAGAAATCCGCCTATAAGAATCAATATGAACTAGGCACTTATCCAGCAAGTTGCTTATTCCACATGCTACACCCTTATACAAGCAACTTAGAATTTCTTCTACATCTTCCTTGAGTTCTCGTTTAAAGAAGCAAGCTATATCAAGAAATATATTCTTCTCTAGTTCATCCAACTCATCAAAGCTACTCTTCAAAATCTGTGAAATTTTTTGTTGGGGATATTCCTTGAGCTTATCCACCTCACCTTCCCACTCTTTTCTGGACTTTGTATATAGTTTAGAACCCAAAACTTTCAGGGCAAGTGGATTGCCTTGGGCGTACTCCAAAAACTTGTTGGATAGGTCTTGAAAATCAAGAGCAGGATTCAAAAGCTTAAATGCAAATGTACAAAAGAGTTGCAGAGAGTCGTTCTCATTTAATTTGTTTACCTCGTGTATTTTGTCAGCTCCTCCATTCTTAAGAACTTGTCTATCTCTAGATGTTACAATGATTTTACTTCCCTCACCAAAATATTTTACACCCATAAGATCCATTAGATCCAAGTCATTAACATCATCAAGGACGACAAATACTCTTTTATTTTTGAGTCTCTTTTGGGTTAAAGGGGATCCTATGGAGGGGGTGTCTATATCAATTTTGTCATCTAATAGTTTAGAAAGAAGTTCATTTCTTACATATTTCATCCCTTTTATTTCTATTTCCTCTCTAACATTTTGAAGAAAGCAACGACTTTGAAACTCAGAGGAGATTTCATTATATACAACATCAGCAAGAGTAGTTTTGCCTATACCACCCATTCCCCAAAGTCCTAATACACGACTATCTTTTTGCTCAATCAGCCTTAAAATCATTTCTTTCTGATCATCCATTCCAACCAAATCATCATAAATACTTCTAGATTTGCGATCCAATATTTTTAAGATATATTGAACGACATCTTTAATGTACTCAGTATCAGGCCTGAAAAATATTTGTTGAAATGATTGTCTAAAGAAAAACGAGTCAAGTGTAAGAAGTATAAGAAGATGAAATGTAAGGTTACCTATCAAATTTGCCTCCCTCTATATGCCACCCTTTTAATTTACCAACTTCAACAAAGTCTTCCTTCCATTTTTGCACTTGACATAGCCCATTTGATTCATGATCATCAAAGGATGCTTTGAAACTCCCACCGAGATTCCTCACATCAGAAGGATCAACATGGTAAAACATGGGAATAATAGTATGTTTTTGAGTGCGCTTACGCCCCATGATGTCAGAGAGTTGAGCCAAGCATGATTCCGAAGAAGCATAGTCTTTAGATAAAACAATTATCGATAGGTTTGAGGCTGCAATTGCTTGAGAGAATTGAATCTCTGCTTTGTTGGAGAAGACATTTATTCCCGTGCACTCCAAAGCTTTGAGAAGATGACTGCTGAAGTTGAGGCGCGTGTCCTCACCTAAGCTCAAGAAAACTTGATGCTTCATCAACTTTTGCATAGTATATTCAACAATATGCTTGATGTGATCAGTTTCAGGTCTAGCAAATAATCAAAACAAAAAGATATCATTATCAAATCTAAGACAAACTTAAGACAAACACACGAAGATGAGAAAGATATAGTTACTTGTCGTCCTCTATGCGAATTCCGGCTAATGATCCGACTTGGGCGAAGTCCTCTTTCCACTGTTGCACTTGACGCAGCCCATTTGATTCATGGACATCGAAGGATGTTTTGAAACTTCCACTTAGATTTTGCACATCGGAGGGATCAACATGGTAAAAGATGGGGAGAACAATATATTGTCGCGTACGCCTGCGATGCATGATGTCAGAGAGTTCGGCTAAGCATGATTTGGAAGAAGTATAGTCGGCGGACAAAATGATTATCGAGAGATCTGAGGCTGAAATTGCTCGGGAAAGTGCTAGTGAAAGTTGTTCCCCTCTTTCGAGTTTTTCTTCATCGAAGAAGACATTCATCCCGGTGGCTTTCAAAGCTTGGAGTAGTTGGGTGGTGAAGTTAAGGCGCGTGTCTTCACCCCTGAAGCTCAAGAAAACCTGATACTCTAATTGACAAGAAGAGGAGGAAAAATCCTTCAATCGACAAGAAGGGGGCGAAAAATACTTCATTTGACGAGGAGGGGAGAAAGAATACTTCAATTGAAGATAAGATGGCGAAGAATACTTCAATCGGCGAGAAAAGGATGGAGAATAATTCAGTCGACGAGAAGGGCAGAGAAAACACTTCAATTGACGAGAAGGGAAGGAGGAATACTTCAAATTGAAAGAAGAGGAGTTAAAAGAAGAAGCCATGAGGAAGATGGCAGATGAAACTCGAGGAGGGATGGCGGCGATGCCGATAATAGAGATTATGTAAGAGAGTGAATGGAGTAGGTGTTTTTATTTCCTTATAAACACAGAGTTTTACATATTGGGTCTTGGTGCACGTCAAACTTACAAAAAAATTAATCCCTAGATAAATAGCCCGTATACAGTATTGGGCCAAAATAGCCTTTATTTTCCCACTAAAACTAACAAAGACGGTGAAGTATTATGGTATAATGAATATTTAATCCCTAAATTTCATATATTCTATCGATCGGATCTTAATTTAAAATAATTCAATAAATTTAATTTTCTTGATATTTAAAAACAATATCAATCTGGTCCTTCTCACAATTCTCTTTATTCGCTCTCTTCTCTATACCTAGTTTCTCGTAGAAATCATTGTCCTCATCAACATCCAGTTAACTACAAAAATTTAATGTTTCTTTCACCGGAAAATAGACTAAACTCCAATAATCTAACATGGAGGAATGCCAACTACCACCATTTTTATGAACCACTACAATTTTTGCAAAGCTAATGCACTACTTTTTTTATTTTCTCTCGCTTAGTCAATAATCTAACATCAGATGTCTATGTACTTTTGAGAAAAAGAAAATCAATATGGTTCTCGTATTATTTTTTCTGTAACTTTTTGACCAATGTTTTCCATCGTTGACTGTTATGGTGTTGACGTGGTAGTTCATGATGCTGACATGGTAGTCTATGGTTCTGACATGGCAGTTCATCTGTCATGTTTGAGTTACAAATTTAGCCAATCTGTCATATCATTCGCTATGTTATCAACCACCGTAAACTGTCATGTCAACACCGTGAACCGCCATGTTAACAACGTCAACTATCACGTTAGTACCGTAATGGTCAACGAAGAAAAATATTAGTCAAAAGGTCACATCAGGTTTATTGTCTAAGTTAGAGGGCCACGTTGAGAGAAAAATAATAATAGCGTCACATTAATTTTTTTTTTAGTTGAGGACCTCTTATACCTTTGCCCTAAAATATATAAACTAATGTTAAAATTAAACATGGTAAAGGGACTAAAATCATAATTTGATCGGAACACTTGAGGGATGCTAGAATGAAATACAAATGGAGATAGTAAGTGGAAAGGAAATGGTGTTTAGTTTCCATATGAAAATTCCCAGCATATGCAATCTACAAATTTGTGCATTGGCTGAAGCCATATTTTGCTTCAGCTAAGTGTTTGAAATCTCACATTAAACCAACCCAAAAAAAAACGATGATCCATTCCCATGCAAAATTACATTTTATAAAATTTTAGAGAGAAACTTATAAGAAAAAAAAATAAAAAGGTAAATTTATAACACGAATTACGTGTCACGATCGAGAAATAATACGTGTATAAAGGAATTCATTCCACGTATCAGGTAGCCCGAGGAGGCACCAATGGATACAATCGGCATACTTGGCCGGGTCGGCTTTTTGTTCCGGGTTAGGCTTTTACCTTGTCGGATGGTGTGCGTTGCTGTATGTGCGTCTTTTCTATATTCCGAAAGGGTTGTAATGTCGATGAAATGGACCTGAACTTTCATGTTTCGGGTAATGTTTGCAGCTATGACATAGAGCCGACGGTCCGTGCCCACGTTTAGGTACATTGACTGGTTGAGAATTGGGGTCGTCTCTAGAGCACATTTGATCCAATCTGAGTTGTTCCAATCCAAGCTCCTGCACACATTGATGGGTTCAAATTTTTATTGACTCATTTCCATCCACTAAGATCTAATATGTTTCGATGCGATTTTTCGATTCGATTCGATTCAACTTTATATATTAATTTTAGATTTTAAGTTAATAATTTGATCAAATTTTCACCAGTTGAAAGGTCATAGACCCACGTATCAACCACTGGGGCTGACCTAAATTTGGATGCTTTATTCTAACTACCATGGCCATTGACAGCTAATCACAATCAAAAGAAAATAAAACATATATATATATAACTTACAAATTTTGTAAACCTCAAACTAATTAAATTAAAAAAAAATGTTACGCACTTAAATATTAAATAATAATAGGATAAACTATATTAGATACCATCGAACTTTAAGCGTTAAATCGTTTGTACCACTAAACTTTCAATTTTTCCAAGTATAGCACTAAAATTTGATTTCCGTTTCAATTATATCACTGAACCGTTAAATCGTTAACGAAACGATGACGTTGTTGACAACTATTGGCGTGGCTAATAACTGTCGATATAGACATCGAACTAAAACGACATTGTTTTGATCTGACGGTTAACAATTTAACGCCCAAGTGGTATAATTGAAACGAAAATCAAAGTTTAGTGCTATAATTGACAAAATTAAAAGTTCAGTGGTATAAATGATGCAACTCCTAAACTTCAATGATATATAGTGTAGTTTACCCTTAAAATTTATCAAATAAGACTTAATCGACATAATTAATCACCTAATTAAGTTTATTTACATTAGATCAACATCTGATATAAGGTTTAATCACGATTAGCTTGTGGTGTTCTCTCCTTGTTTTTCTATTGACATCAAAGATTAGGTTTTGTTTTTGGTGAAGTTAGTTACATCTACTCTTTATTTATACAATATTTTTTTGTACATAATTTAATATGACTCGAATTTACGATATGAATTAGAGGATTTATCTTAGAAATTCAAATGATTTTAAACTTGAAATAATTTGAACATTTTAAGAAATCGAATCGAACCGACTTGAGTTGACTTGATTTAAAACTAAATCGACTTATTCAATTAATAGATCTAGATTTACCTGATATGAAGGGGAGACATGCTGCTGAAGAAGACAGTGGTTCGACTTGGATTCAGATTTTTATTAACCCACTTAGACCATGTGCTCAACACCCTCTTGTATGCTATCGGCCGGTCGATCTCGTCGTACTCGGTGTCTCCTTTATCGAACGATCCTCGTCTGTTATACGAATTCGACAAAAAAAACATTACATTGAATCAAAACATTTGATGAAACAACAATGTTTTTGTTTTGTTTTTGGGGATTACTTACAAGACTTTCATGGTGGCAGTGTTCATCCACCAAATGTATGTGTTGAAAACCAAATAGTCAACTTCTTTCCAGTTCTTGCCATGGGTTTTGATGGATCCAGGCATAATTATGCGGTTCAAGACGTTGTGCATGTCTGGGTTGTCTGAATTTGATTGCACCAGAAATGGTGCCATATAAAACTCTACCGTCGCATTGTAATCCTGCATAGATTAATCTTTGCATAGATCTGGTCTACTTCAAGTTTGAATCATTTAAGGTTGAAAGTTCTTTCGGATTCGAATCATTCAAGATTGAGGTTTGAATTTTTCGAGTTTGATCATTACGAGTTAAGATCATTTTTATTTCTAGTTACTTCGAGTTGTAGGATTGTAGAATACAACATGAAAACGATATTTCCCCCATGGAATATTTGTTTGGCAGCTGAGAAAATTAATTGTACCTCGATTCTAAATAAAGAGAGAGAACATATCTTCTTCAAGCTCTTTTTTCCAGGAGGAACAACAGATTGAACAGAAGAGACTATCTTTATATTTCATCCCGCCCGTTAGGATTAATCTTTTATTTACAAAAATGTTTTATAAAATCCTTAATGCATAATAGAGAAAAATGAAAAGGGGGTTCAAGACATAAAATTTTGAATAATGTCTTGAAACCAAAGAAGGATTCGAGCTGAAAAACCTAGAAAGGCAGCTCGAATATAAAGACTGTGCAGCTGTTGTATAGGAGGCGATCTCAAAAATCCCTTAACAAGACATCGCATAACCCGAATGTGCTCATGAGAGCTGAGAATCGGAGAACACTTCCAGTAGATGAGAATAGAAGCTACTCCATCATATCAGTGAACGTCAAAGAAATGAGAATGTCAAATCTTTGACCAAAGACAACAACCCGAGACACCTTATCCTTTCCTTACTTAACCCTACCTCAAAGATAGCATTAATCTTGACACTTGTCAAATATCTATAATTTTTTGAAGGATTAAAAGTCTAATTAATTCTTTAATATCCAATGAAGTATTGTTTTATGATTTGTTTCAATTATAAAACCTAGAAAGAGGCAATATTTTTTCAAAATTTTGATTAAATTTTTTTCAAAATTCTTTTAATTGATATTTTTCTAATTTTGAAAATAAAAGAAGAAGAAAAACATTTTCAAACAAGACAATCTCTCTGGAGTAGATTCTGGTAACTGGAACATATCTCCCAAACACATAAGCTCATGCTTAGAATTAGTGTTGGAGCAAGAAAGGATAAATTTTGGGGCATTTTTGAAGACTCATATCTTCCAAGAATACAAGATCATTGAATTGAGTAGAATTTCATTTTCAGTGAGGCAAAAGGCATGAAGACTGAAAATGGCGGAACACAGACAATGGAGCCCACTATATACAATTATTTTGTCCATCACCACAACATACAAGTTGTATTTGTTCTGGTGATTTCCCATGCATTAATGTTGGCAAGCCAAAGCGTCCCACTTATAATCCTACTGAGCTTTGTTCTTTGGTGTCCTTGCAACACTATACAAAAGCCCTGAACATCATGCAAATAGCTTATCTGGTTGAAAAATCTAGACAAAAGCCACAGGAAATAATGAATAAGTTGCCAAATGTTTGAGGACATCCAAATTTCCTGGAGCTCCACAGTTTCTCCTTTGTGTTTTACCTGATAAGAAAATTATGATCTCTATGAGTCTTGTCGAGTTTGGTATTGTTGCGCAGTGTATGGATCCAACTAGGTTCAAGGACCAACATCTTACAAAGTTACTTCTAAGAGTCAATGCAAAGCTTGGAGGATTGAATTCGATGTTAGCCATTGAGCCAACACTTTTCCATTCCAGTTGTTTCTAAGGTCCCAACTATCAGCTCTAGGTAGTGGCCTTTGATTTCCCGCTATAGGGTATCAGCATGTACATAGTCTCCAAAGCTTGAAATGATGGATTCTCTTTTCAAATCAATAATGAAAGCTCTATCAAATTTTTACACAAGTTCAGGCAGAGA